TGTGAGAGATTGTTTATTCTCTCTCTATGCCATCATCTGCAAATTGCTTAATAACACAAATAAATGTTACATAAACGTTAAGGTTTTCTTCTAAGCAGCAGAAGCAATGTAAAAAAAAGATAATAGCGAAAGGCTTTCATTTGTGGTTGTAGTCCTGTTAAGACCCTGTTTGATTACCAGGTTAGATTTGCTGTAACGTGCGGATTCTGTTCACAGCCTTTTAAGATTTTCTGGTACTTTAATATCATGATGTTAGGCTAAGAAATCAGTTTTGTTGAAGAGAAAATATATTCTGATTGTTCTTAGAGGATTAAAACTGGATGGCTGATACTGTTACAAGTATCAAGACCCAGTGTTGTGATGGACATTGCCACCCACAGGGCAATGACATTGGATCTGCTCGTGTATCAACTCCTAAACCACAGCAGCTTTCAGTCTGCCAAGCAGGTGCCTGACAGCAGAAGCAGACAGTAGTCTGATTTTAATCCCCATTCACAAATGCTTCAGAAATGCAGTATGAGTGATGGTAGGTTTATACACAGTGCCAGGAAACTGCCTGGTGTGTGCTGAGCTAAACCTGTCTGACCATTTTGAAGTATAACAGTAAGTCTGAGGTAATATGTCCCGCTTCTCAGCACTCGAGGAAATGGAGTAGGCGTGTTGGCTTGGAAGAGTGAGCAGCCATCAGCATGAGCCTCACCTGAATATCTGACACTGTGACCCATGGCAGCTCTTACCCAAAGACAGGGTGGATTCAGTAACAACTACATGCTTGTATGATTTGCTGTGTTAACCTTGACCAAACTGGTCTTCGTCAGCTTGTGGAATCAATAAGGGAATTAAGTCTTGGGTTCAGCAACACTTGTTTTACTACAGGCACATGCTTAGCAGGATATTGTAAAGATACAAAGCTTTTCAGGAAGCTGTATCAGCATGTGGGCAGTACAACTCATCTGTCTGCAAAAAACTACACTGGCATGTTTTTTCCCCATCTGGGGGATATTCTGCTGATTAGATATTTCTTCACCAGTAGCCAACAAACAAAATTTGCAGCTGGCAAAACCAGCAGTTTATTCAGCTGGTATGGATTTGTTTTTTCTCTCCTGTTTCTCTCTTCTGTGTTAAACTTCAAGAATGAAGTTAATACTGCCATTGAGGCCAGTCCAAAACATAGGGTATTTCAGTCCTACTTGGTTAACTTTGACCACTTATGTAAGACTGAAGTAATATATGTTTGGTGTGGGACTGCTTTGCTAGGAGGAGAATGTGAATGTATTTATAATTATCGAAGATGTCTGTCATCCCAGATTGATATATCCAATGACATTTTTCTTTCTTTTATGGCTATTCATGTTTTCTACTGCTTGAGTTTGTTTCCGTTTTAGCAAAATGAGAAAGAATCAAAAGTCTCTTGATCTAAATGTTTTATTTGTACTGGACTGAAAAGGTATTGAATTGCTTATATGACAATCAGTACCTGACAGATGTAACATCTCTTTCTAATGCCCTTTATGCAATGTTTCTTAATGTAAAAAATAGTATAACAAAAGAAAAGAAAATCTGGGACTTTGGTTTACCTTCTTTTCTTGTTAAAGAAGGTGAAAAGTTGAATTGTCACAGGTGAACTGAGATTACATCCTGCAGCTAGACAGAATGTAAAGAGAATTTAAAGAAACCTTTAAAAAAAGTCCTACATAGTATTATCAATTCCTATATAAAATAATTTAATATTTTAAATACTGTTTAAATAATTTATCTGTATTTAAAACTAACCTTTTAAAATTTCATGTTTGGAACTTTTTTGGCATTAACACTTAAATAAAATTTTTTAAATATTAAAAAGTTTTTAAAATACTCAATACAATTCAATATAAAAACAGAAAAAGTAATATACATTGTTCACACATAGTATTGTACATGACAGCTGAGCTCTAGAGAGAGCTTTTGAATTTGTCAGACAAGTCATAGCTTAGTTGTGGTGAGCCACTTGCTCATCCTCTCTCTGGACTCTTAAGATCACTGCAGATCCTTACCATCAATATGTAGTCTTTAATATTATATACACATACTGCATACAGTATTTTATTTCCATCTTTATGCCCAGACTTGTAAATAAATATTTTTCCCAGCATTTAGATCAAAATATTGTTTAGCGCATACACAAATATATTTAAGACACACACAATTTGACAAGAAACATACCAATTTTGCTCAGCTCAGTTATAGGAAAATTTAACTCATAGGTGCAAAATAACGTAAGTGAGAAGTTGTCACTGTTGTACTTAAAATTTATAATAATCTTATTACCAAATGTTTACAGGTTGTGTTAACTGTAGGAAAATTAGGATTCATTTGTCCTCTTGGTGCATTTTCATTAATCCTGCCAACAATAAAGGCAGTAGCGTAGGCATGATGCCGGTGTCTTACAGCTACTTTGTCTAACACCTAGTATTCACTGACAGTATTACAAACTTTGACAGTATTACAAACTCAGTGTTACAGACTTTGGCAGGACTTCACTAAAGGCCAAATACCAGTCTCCAGTTTTTAAGCGTAGGCATGTCTGTCATTGATAATGAAGTTTACTGTCAAATTGTAAATTGTTTTCTCTATTCTTCTATAAAGAACTCCTGTATTTAGCAAGATGATTTCTACAGATACTGCAAATGGATTCTGGTGGAAAGAGGGGTACTTTCATGCTTCCTATATTACATGTGTCATGTATTATGATTGCAATAGTTGTGTCTCATTGTACAAGGTAGTCCCTAAAAGTCTTCCATTTCTTCTTGAAAAATTCTTCTCCAAGAGGACCCCAAACCTTTACAAACCCTAAATGGAACATTCGATGTAGCTTTTGCAGAAGGAAAAAATACCAATGCAAATCAACATTCACATCAGGAAGCCTAGTCTAGAAACATTACTCGGAAGAGCAGCACATGCCACATCATATGCGTAGTTATTCACAAATGGGCAAAACTCACATTTCAGATTTTGGACTCATAGTTTCCTATTCATATGCAATCTACAAACTAGAAACTATTTGCGGGAATTACTGCATGGCTAATTCTTAATAATTGTTCCTGAAAATATAACATCTTCACAGATAACTCTGAGACAGTTTCAAGATGAGCTTTCAAGAAGGATTTGAATGCTTTGCTCATGTCTTCACAGTGTGAGATTCTGAATGAACATTCAGGCAGACAGAATTCACAAACTGTAAGAAATATCCTGCCTTCCTTTCACTCTCCCTGCCCTCTTCTCTGGCATGAAGGTGCTTAAGCAAGGCGTTCACTCGGGTGATGGACTATACCTGTGGTGACTCTGGGCTTGGTTTACATGAAATTTGATTCTCCTGCTTTCAGGGGAGCAGACTCTGAAAATGAAATTGTTATCTAGGGAGAAGAAGCATTTCAGTCACTTTATTTTAATCCAGCTCAAGAGATAAACTGAGGCTTTGAGTTTATTTCACAGTAAAAACATGGTACAACAACAGGCCTCCATTTGTGTCTCTGAAGACCTCAGCCAGAAAGTCAGGATTCTGTAGGACAAAGCAAGCAGTCAATGCTAAAGTAATCCTCCCACACACCTTTTACCACTCTGATCAATGGTCAGGAATACTGGTGTGCCAGCAAGAGACTAATTCTCAGCTGTTCTGTACACATGAAGTTTTAGGTCCTGGTATTCTCAGCTCAGCCCTTTTCATTAAGACATTGAAGTTGCATGAAAACTAAATATGTTTTGACAGGAATATTTCAGAATCAGAAATAACATGAAGTGATGAACTATTAGTTTTGCCTTTGCAAATGTCTGTCTAGACATAAGAGAATTTGTATTTATGTCTTAACCTTTCCTTGGATGTATATGCAGCGTGTACATATAACTATATATTTATATAGTTTATAGTTTATATCAGACCCAAGAAAGCTTTATTATTCATTAGTGCTCTTCAGGTGATAAACTGAGCAGAAAAGGTGCAGTTTTCTTGTAAAGACACGTTATGGTGATTCAACAAAAAGAGGTCTATAAAAGGCTAAGCATATGACAGCTCAAACATCTAATTTTTAAATTAAAACCTTGATCGCAGCATTTAATGACTTCTTTTTACTTTAGATTCTTCATTTATGCTTAAGCCTGTACAAGACACTGAGTTACTTTTTCCACATTGCCATCCGGTTAACAGTAAAGAGACAAGTGTGTGTATTTTTTTAATTCTTTTTTAAACAAGTGAGGAAAAAGGCATCATAAATCCTTCATTTTCTTTTTGATAGTGAAAAAGGTCATCAGTTGAAAAAATGTCTTTCTGGGGAGATGGAAGAAGTAGTAAACACTGCGAAAATTACTGTGAAGCCTGTTTGAGAATTCAGGCCAAACTTCTAGGTCAAATCCAGAAAGGACAAGTTATGCAGTGTATCTTATTAACTTTCAGGTTTCTGGTGTCTCGGACAAATTCAGAATCCTGTGAAGTCACATATGCTCTCTCTAAAATGCCTGGAGGGAGTTGCAGGTCTGACTGGTTATGAGTGAGCTGGAGAGCTACATACCACAACTCAGTAAGAAGCAGTAACTGAAAAGCAAACTATTTCTCCCTGCTGTTTGACCTTCCTTCTATTTGGATTTAATCCTCTCCTAAACATAAGTGTTTACGATCCCTCATTCGAATAGTTAAGATGGACCACCTTCCATCTTTTATACAAAGTCTGGAAGAAGTGACATTGTTGGCATTGCCTACCTGTTATTTTGTAATAGCCAGTTCAAAAATGTGTAAGAGACGGTGGTGCAATACCCTGTCATTCTGAAGGGACTCGCAGCCACTTCACTTCTCCCACAGAGGAGCTGTGCACAGGCAGCCCAGGGAGAAATCCTTGGCTTCCCTTCTGAAATGGTGCCACTCTTCCAAAAGGAACTCAGGACCAGAGAGGGGGACAAAAGAAAGCAGACAATGAGAAGCAGTATACTTACTAAAAGCAAGTGATCAAACAAAAACACACTGTTATTTGCTACATATCATACTTCAGAGAATCAGATTGTACTTAGGAGTTAAGCAAAATCTTTAGACACAGCCTCTACAAAGTTTGGTGCTGACATTAAAATACCAATTGTACAAATGATTGTGAAGACTGAAAAAGCCATCAAGCAGAGCCGATCTACTACAGAGGCTGCAAACTTCCATTCATTACAAATGGCTTCCTCTTCATCCTGGTCTCTGAATCGGTTTGCAATGTACCTGACCTCTTCCAAGATCTTAGCCAAATCTGGGTCACCTTCAGAGGGGTGGCCACTGTGCAGCAGGTTTTCTTCATCTGTTGGTGAGCAGGTCATCCTCCCACAGATCACCCCTGAATCAGTGGTAGGTGTGCAGTGAACCCCTTCCAGCCCCCTAAACCCAATGTATAGCATATTCCCATTACTAGATTGCTGTCCACTCACAGTGTTCATCTCCACACTTGATAGGCTACATCGACGCTGTTTATGTTGACAGGCAGGACGCACTTTATCTTCCCCTGGTCTTTTCATCCTCAGAAACCAAGCACACCAGTTGAGAAGGATGATTCTTGTCTGAAAGAAAATTTTTTGAGAATAAGCATCTCTTCACACAGCTGCTGTCTTTGGGCACTGTTGGTTATTTTTACAGCCTGGATGACTGTTTGGTCCATGGTCTCCGCTTAGTCTGCACAGGAGTTCTAGAAAATGGTGCCAGAGTTTTCCAGCTAATTAATTTGCCAATCACTGAGGCTGCTTTCTTATTCTAGCAGTGCTGTTAACTGCCTCAGGCTGACTACCACTGTTGGGAGTCCCCCCTCCTCTGATGGGGATCTCCATAGTGTTGATTTTTCCTTACACTTGAACATTGATATGGCAGCCTTTTCCACTTCTACTAGAAACCATGAATTAAAAAAAAAAACAACACTTACTGAAGAAGAGTTACTTTTTAATAGTCTTAATAGCGCTGTTTTAGATTGTAGTCAATAAATTACAATTCTTTCACTCATATTTGTGCTCTAATATTAAATTCACATGATATTACTGTTTGGAGGGGTCTGCTAAAACAGATGCTATACTGAACTAGACCGGGCCACCAAGCTTTACAAGGTTTTGGCTCTGTTCTCATGTTGCTTTCATGACATTTGATTGCAGATTTTAGAAAACAGATCTGGATATAGCATGGAGAAAAGATGGAAAAAATACTTTGATTAAAAAAAGCATGCTTTGCAAATTTAATCAGTGAGTTTCATTTTATTGTTTTCTACATTGCCTTAATCCAGCCTTACAGAAAGTGCAGGCAGGCCAGAGACTGTTCCAGTTCAGATGCAAGCTTCTGTAATTTAGTTCAATCAGATTTTAAGAGCACATTCCAGTGTTTCTTTTCCAGAGCACTAATGAAATATGATTGTCTCATACAATATGCAAATCCTCCACTGTAATTAATATTAGATTTGGTCCATTTAGTCTGACTGTGGATTGCCACTCAGAGTAGATATATCCAGGCTAACATCCCAGCCAGAGACCAATCTTGCCTTGTTACTCTATTTACACTACCAAGCTGTGCCTAGAAGGATGATATTCTATTAACTGAGGGCCTGATGCAAAATTCACCAGTATCCAAATAATGTTTAATGGACTTCAGCTTCTCGACACTGACGCTTACTCCTCAACCTCAAGTACTCTGTTTTCTGAGGATGTTTAGCTCAGTACTAAACATCTGTCTCCTTTAGGTCACCAAACATGCATCTAAAGATATATACCTTTTATTCTCTTCATTCAAATTTATTTTAAAGTCACTACCCCAGAACGGGCCAGGGAATATCTCATTATCTCTTGGCTGCAGAACACTGCTGTACGCACATTCTTTTTGGCTAGTAAGGATAATAATAACTCATTGTTCTAGAGAGAGAAAAAGGGAAAGGGCTTTCCATCTTCAGTAATGCCTGATGCTGCCATGAGCTGGGTGAAGTTAGGAAGAGCAGACAGTTAGCTGATGATACTCATCAATATTTAGTAATCCAGTATCAGAGTAATGTTCTCTGTAAAAACAACCACTCATAGAAGTACATTATAAAGAAAGTCTTATGTGCTTAGAACAAGACTTTAAATTTTCTTTGCACTCTACAGATGTTCTTGACCAGAGATGTAAAGATGAGGGTTTTCAGAGCAAGTTTCACTTCCACTTTAACAGCCATCTTTAACGAATGCTTTTTAGGCTATTGATGTTTCTATATGCACAGCAGCTAAATATGTAGCGGCTGCACAGTTGCACCTTGAGGCTAGTGTATTTCATGCATTTATAATCTCCATCAGCATCTTGCTCTTTTCTTCTACCTGTTTCAACTTTTGACATCTGCAGCTTATTTGAAAATCACCTCCACTAGGATATTTAGGTTTCAGAAAAATCCTGAGGTGCTTCTAGCTGTTGTGAAGGAGATTCTGAATATAGAAGCAAGTTGAGGTATATTAATTCTCTTTCATGCACACACACACTCTCTAAGAAGCCGACCACATGAAACATATCTGGACATCTGACTTCTGGTGAAACTACTTTTCAAAACAAAATGTTTAGGAAGGATATATATGTTTTGAACCATAAGAAGTAAACATGGGTCACTAGCTACTCTATCACATCCCTGATCTGGACATTTATGAAATGGATAATGAATGAAAATCAAACCTTACCCATTTAGGCATTTTCCCCCCATCTGGATCATGATGATGGTATTGTAGAACAATAACAGTGACAACAACAGAAAGACCAACAATAATCATAGTGCTGGCAAAATACTGAGCTGCAAAATAAACAGATAATTAAAGCAATATAGTTTGGCTGATACTGCTTTGTAGCTATTATAAGAGGTGTTTATATACATGCATACAGAGTGTTAAGTTCTTTTTCCAGTGTAGTGATACACATGCTACTTTAGGTACTTGTGAAAGATTTCTCAAAAGCAGAAGGAGCAGCCATTATTTTGACAGGATAACCAGCCTTTAGCAATTGTCTTTGTGGAACTGAGCACCTGCCTTTTCTAAGCAACCTTGAAAAAAATTGTCCTCTAATTTTCTTCCACTGGTATTGTAGAGCCTGGCTAGTACTTATTTTGAAAGTTCCTCCTTCTGTTGAGCAATTACAATGGGAAGATTAATCACGTTTAGCTCTGTATTCCTAGTGTCTGGCCAATTGTGTTGAAACCACAACGTCTTCCATGGAAGACTGACTCCCTTACACTTTCCCAAAATACACACGGGTTCTCTATTTTGTTCAGAGCAGAGAGCACAGAAGTTGTATAGCGGATCACACCCATCAGAGCCTCTCATCAATTGGCAACATTTTTCTAATTCAATTGCAGTAGACCATTGTACAGATGGTAATTTGCCTTACTGCTGGCCTTCATGCAAAGTCACTGCACCTCATTTGACAAAAAATAAAAGTGAATAAAAGCAGTAGTTAGCTTACCAATTAAGGGCACAGAATCAGATGTTGCTGGCATAATTTCAGCCACAAGTAACATGAAGACAGTGAGAGACAATAAAACTGTTATACCTGAAAGATAAACATGAAGTATGAAATTAGATCAGTAGCTTGTAATTACAAGGCAGTAAGAAGCAGAAAATGAATCTGAAGGAGTGCTTTTAACAAGATGCATTCCCATTGTTACCCTCACACCAGCACATTAGTGGTACTCCTATCCTTTCTTGTACCACCTCAAGTTCAGGGCAGCAGTGCTGCCAAACTAGTACCAATGCTTGCACAGACATATATATTTTTACATCCTTGTAACTGTTCAGCTTTTATCACCATTTGCTAATTAGCTGAGGTAAATCAAAGTCATTCTTGCTGCTTGTTTGCTTTAGAAAGATGGTGTGATTTTGAGTATTTGAGCATATGACACTCAATTAATGCGCATGGAAGCTATGGGTGGGGTAATGCATAATATTCCTGAAAAACAGATTTGCTGTCTTGGACAGATTTTGGTATCTTTGATATTAGCTGTTGGGTTCTGCACGTGGCTATGCCCAAGCAGTCTTGACTGTTGATTTTGGGAGTTTGACTTCTGTTGCTTAGTGATGAGCTCCCATCTTCCTGGAACAAGGCTTAGCTCTTTTCTCAGGACTAGTCTTAAACAAGAAGGAGTCATTATCAGGTGGAAAAGGATTTAGGAAAAAAGAATTAATCTTAAAGTATGGGGAGGGACTTCTTGATTAGGGAGGCTACTACTCAATTAAATCATGTTCTGGAGAAATGTCAATTTTGTTTCTACCTTTTAACAGCTATGTTAACTTAGTAGAAGCCAGTGCATTTGCAGTTTTGTATGAGGCAGGAAGTTTCATTACAAATTAAACCTCCATCTTAAGGATCAAGTAATTAAAGTCATAAGGTTTGTTTCACAAACCAATACTTTAGTTAAAATTCTCTATAAAAATTAGAATAGTAGCAGTTAGAATCAGTCTTTCTGAGAAGACACCTTAGGCTCTTAATACAACTCACTATTAAAAGGAAATATTAAGAAGAATTCCATGTTAAAGTGTTCAAATGCATATTTGTAAACTTAAGCTCTACTCAGTGAATGTGGGATTTTTCTTCAGCAAATAAGCGTCAAAAAATGAAACCCTGCTTCTTAAGGAAGGCAGTCAGGAATTGTCATGCTTCAGCTTGGTTGTTTGGAATTCCTCCATTTCACAACTTCAATGTACCCTAAGCTGAAAGCAAGGGTTAAACATCACACAGCTTCAGCATCAAACAGTAAAAATAGCTCTTGAGCCAGAATAGGGCATACAAGCTATTCCTCGCTGCCTACTAAGACTGTTTAAAAAACTTTTAAAAGGACAACTTCTTTTGGTTTGGTCATATTTACAATATCGTATTAAGGGTTTACCTAGTGAGATCTTTTCTCCCGAGTCTGCTGGAAGCAGAAAAACTAACAAAGCAAGTGCTGATATCAGTACACAAGGAATAAGAAGATTGAGTCCATAATAGAGAGTCCTACGTCTCATAGTTACTGTGAATGTTACATCTGGGTAGGGTTCTTTACAACATTCATAAAAACTCTCAGTTCTCTTCCCAGGAACTCCTGTGTAGGAGGGAAAAGGAAGAAAACCAGAAATTAATGTGAATAAACTGTGTATTATGTAGTGATTATTTTAAAAAAGGATAAATATAGCTTTCTAAGTTTTACTATAGGTAAAACTACTTCTATGAGCTTAATTCCCAATTAAGTCATTTTTGTCACATAATAAAGGAAAATCAGATAAAAGATACTTATTGAATTCAAGAAGCAATTTTGTCACCTACTTCCGTATGTTGATTTTCATCTTACATCTGTTCTCAGAGTTTCAAATGCCACTAGCTAGGTTATTTATTAATTTAATTTCTGTCCTCATTTCCCAGTCATTATTCCATCCATTTCAGCAGTGGAGACAGGGCTGCAAGTTCACAGTGTAAATAAGAAATCAAGAGCTTACCTACTAAATCCCACTCTCCATTTGAAATATAGCCAGATATATCTGCTTCTTGCATTTGTAAGTCCAAGGACCAGCCTCCGTAAGTCCAGGATCCAAACTTCAGGTTACACTTCTGAACATCAAATGGAAACCAGCGCACATCTATGTAGCATGAGCTTTTAAATATGCCTAGATTGGATTTTAAACAAGAACACTTAATTTAAATGCTTTTTCCATATAATTTCATGTACATTTTGAAAGCAGACCTTGTTCTACATTGCACCCCATTTTTTACTTGTAAAGCATATTTAATCTCAGTTGTCTCTTGATGTGTAAATAGCAAAAGTCACTCATAGAAAAGGGAAAGAATTGCACCGTTAATGTATTGATGTTATAAAGTATTTTTTGAACTACATTTCCATTTTGGCACATAGTAGGCGAATATCTAGAGAACAGCTCAGATTTCTAGATACTGTATTTCAGAAAGAAATGAAGCAGAATATGTATTCTGTTTCTCCTATCTTTTACTGAATAAAATAAGAAATCCTGAAACATTATTTGCTGTTTTATTAGATTTACATGATCTTGATTTATTCAGGAAAGCTAGCTTCTTATTCTTCCCTTGAATGAGAATGAGTCACGCTAAATGAGTCAGGCCCCTGTCATTTAGCAGCTTTCAAAATTAAATTGAAAAACCCCCATCAAAAGGAACATCTTAAATCAAAAGAACAACAGGCAAACCCCTGAAATCCTCTGGGGATCTTAGATGGAAGTTAATTCTAAGAATTGTGCTAATTGAGCCTGGGAACAGAAACAGTACTCCACTGCTATACATCCAGAGAATCAGTGATATATTTCTGATATCAAACAAATATCAAGCACAGACTACTTCCCTTTTAGACTAAAAATTGTTGTGATGAAGTGTCCAGTGAATCACTTCAAATAGAAGATACATCCAAGGTATTACTAAGCATCTTACTATAAAGTTAATGTATTAATAGAAGAAACAGCTAAATTAATGAAATACATTTTTATTAAGAGTCATTACCATGGCTTTAATAAACAATACATTTTTATATTAGAGGCTTATATTTTTTATCTTTTTTTATATGTCCACACTTCTGAAATAGTGCATTATGACAGAAGATTTTACATAACTGCAATTAAAAATATATCTTGTATGGTGTTTCTCATACAAAAGTATTAACCATGTAATTCATGATGCATTCAGCTTAAATCTATCAGATGATGCTAGCTAGATAAATAAAATATCAGAGAATTTATGTCAAATTTGAAACCACACCACATATAAGTAGTCTGAGTTATCAAAATTTATGACATGAAAACAGCCTACCTGGTGGCAGATACTGGCAATGTCCTGAAGAATTGACTAAAACATTAGTGTGAAATGTAGCATCAAATCTTTCATCAGCACTAGAATAGGGAAGAAAAAAAATTGGTTATATGCTCTTTGACTGGCTGAAGAATATCTGAGATGAATCTGTTCTTCATAGAAGGATTATTCCTCCCCAAAAACTTGACAGCTTTTCTCCTGTCACCACTTTTCTGTGGCGTCAGAGTAACTGGCCTGATACTACTGGATTTGTTCCTGATTAACTACTCTACGTGAAGGTGAGCCACCTCATTCTCGCTGCTCACCAATCCCACTACATTCATTACGGTGCCTTGGCTCTATTGATTTCCATTTTTGAAAGTAAGCACTTTTAAAAAACTTCTAAAGTAACTGTACAGGGAAATCTGTTCTCTTGCTGTCTACATTAACAGCAGCTAATGAATACTGAGGAGATGGATACTCCAGTGTTTCATCCTACCCCTCTGCATGGGTGAATGTTATTACTACATGTCATACATAAGACTTTTAATGCAGCTCCAGCCTTCATTATCTACTTCAGAAACCACCAACTGGGTTCAGCAAAAAAAACCCCAAACCTATTAGAGGTGTCAGTGTAGTGGTGCTGGCCAGGACCGCCCTGATGTGCCGTTCTTACACATCTCTATAAAAGAATCATAATGTTACTTGAAGAGTGCTTGAAATTATGAATTGGCGGCTACTGCCAAGGAATCTCTCAACTACATCTGACACTATGACCCAGGAATTTACTAGGCATTAAAATTTTAAGAACTTCTGGATGGGAAACAACCTATTTTCAAATATTTAGATCATGAAATAAAGACTCTTTCCTATGACAAGTTTAGTAAGTTCACTGACTCTATGAAAGACATTTAGATTACTTAGCATTGCAATACATGTATGCTCGTGTAGTATTATGAGCTATTTCACAGTTCCCATTTACTGCTGCAGGTTTTCGTGGTAAGTTATTACAGATTTTGATCTATATATCCTTTAAAGTTCAGGACCTAGGTATTCAAGAAATTGTCATAGTTATTGAAATTGGTGCCTAGATTAAATTGCACAGAATGTACTGGGAGGGTACTATCAGTGAATGATCCTTGCATCTCAAAATTATTTCAGGAACTGCTGTGTTGAGTTCACGTCTGATGGCTGTTGGCCCTGATTACAGACACATGCTCTTGTGCTTTCTTGGGCTTTCATTGGTGCAGGGATAAGCAAAATGAGACATAAGCTACTGTATTTTGTTGTATTGTTTGTAGTTTCCAGTCACCTTGCGGGGATGGGTTGGCACACAAGGCAAATACAGTGCCAGTCCCTCTGGGCCAGGGCAAAGGAGGTCACACGAGCCTCAGGGTCTGGCTTCTTGCTGCAGTCTGTGCTTTCATTGATCTAAAAACCTGTGTTGACTCTAGGTTGATTTGAACATGGCAAGTCTCTAATGTCTCTTTGCCTATTAGTGGTTTAGTATCTCGTAATTTTCTAATCACCTTCTAAAACACCATCAGAAAAATACAGTAAGAATCTAAGATGGTGAGAAAGTGAAATATTCATAATTCTAGCAGAAAATTAATTATAATAAATGGCACATTCTTCCAGCAGGAAAACCCTTACTGCAATACTGTTTTTAAAAAAGAGGACTTTAATATTTGATCTATTGTGATGCAAATTTTGTATCTCAGAAGCTAAAATAAAACAATCACTATTTTAGTTATTGTTACTTTGCTTTTATTTTCCCCTTATGTATTTGAAGAAATTACATTTTAAAAATAACTGGACTGGTCTGTGAAATATGCAGACAAGAAGAAACTAAATCCAAATAATTACATGCCCATCTGGAGTTGCACTTTTTCCTGTGGTGAGCAGAAAGCTCACAGTGTTGAAAATCTTTGCAGTTTGAATTTGCAGTATTTAATTTGAACTCTGAAGACAAGCAGAAAAGTCTAAATATTATGTATGTAGCATGAATAGATTCTAGGACTTTGAGGGGAAAAGGCAATTCAATTCTGAGGCAGTTGAGCTAATGTAGACCGCTCTCCTTCAGATTCACAGCTCATGGCTGGATTGTCTGAGTTTGTGTTGCAGCTTCTCTTCCAGTTGGAGCACTAATTGTTCTCCCTCCTCATCTTGGCTGCCTGTTTTCATGACATTTTTAAGAAACTGGTACTGCTAAGATCTCTACTGATTGCCCTGCTAAAATTGGCAGAAATGGATTCAGAGGAAATTAGGGAAAGGGGCAGCAAGAAAGATCATACACAAACACCTATATTCACACAGGTGTGTATGCCTACACGTGCATCTTGTTTCCTTAGAAAACCAGACTTCAAGTCCTGCAACAGGTTTCTGTATTAGACATAGACAGGTAATTGCTTTGACTTGAAATTAATGAGGGCTACATGATGAAACTCAGAACAAGTAGTCAAATTTAGGATGCAAAAATATCCATGCCACACAAATGACTTGTAAAGGGGAAATAAATGACTAGAAATAAAATTCTTAGCCTCCTAGGCTAGATTCTGTTCTCTTCCCCTTGAGCAGAGGGCAGTTAAGCACCAGAGGATTGCTTCTAAGACCTTGCTGCTGTTTCTGGTAACTGGCAAAAATAAAATATTGAAAAGGACACTGGTGATCAAGGAACCTAGGTTTCATTGCCATGTTACTTTGGCTTTCATAAGACACATTCTTAAAAGAATATAAAGAGGTACTTAGACTCAAATATGAAATTCTTTTTTCTGAAAAAAGATCATATGTGTTTTTTCTACACTGTAATTCTAATTGTTTTTTTGAAATGCAGTGCTTCAGTTTGGAATGCACCAAGTAGCTAAGCCTTTGCTTGGTGAGACTTTGAACTCAAATGTAATGATAGAAAAACATTTCTGCTACGTTACTTCTTCAGGGTATAACCACTTGAAAGCATATACTGACTGCAGTACATTGAAATGACAAAGCTGTACCTAGCAGATATAATCCCACTGGCACCTATCTGGAGAATCTCAGGTTTATAAAACTGGAAAAACGAAATTGTTAAAATGAGACATAACTACCAGAATTTTTGTAATTCCATGAAGTACTGAACGCTATGTGGCCATTTGGAAAATAATACCACCAGAAACAAGCACTTTTAATAAGTCTAGTAAAACTAACAAAGTGGAAGAGAGCCATACATGACACTAACACAGTCAATCCTGGAATTTGTTCATAGGCCAAGATTTTCTTCCCTCAGACAAACTACAGATGAACTGGCTCTGCTCTTCATGATAGACTGGTTGTAAAATTTAATACAGCTGCCACAAGTTTCTCTGTACTAGGCTGCAGCAAGATGTGTAAGGACTCAAGACATAGTGAAACATGCATTCATTAAAAATAAAAGTGAATTTATAGTTCATTAATTTCTTTGTAACTGCAGATGCATGTCCCTAGTGAAGTGTATAGAAATTGAAAGCATCTATCTCAAAATACCATGTCACTATAAGAGAACATCATAACATTCCCAATGCAATTTCATACAGGAATAAGAATTTGTTTTAAATAGCTTTGCTCCCTGACTAAACTCTCAATAAGATTTAGGACTGAATATGTGTTTTAAATACAGACACTGTAGAAAAATTCTTCATGACTGTGCCATAGTTAACAATCCCAAGATTTGAAACCCTATATTAACAGAAAACAAGTGTTTTCAGTTTTTCAGGTTATTAAGTTACCCTTCTTATTTGATAATGCTCTTCAGCTACAGTTAGCATGTATGTATTAATATTACTAATTTCTAAAAAAATTACCCTTTCATTTTGAATATACTAGACACACTGAAAATCTCCTCTCAGGTATGTGATATATGTGAGGAAGAACAGTGTCATAATTCATTCTTTTGGAAACCTCTAAACTGCTGTTGTAGAGTACCAATTTTATGGCATACACAGTGTGTTACTCAGCAGAATGGAGATGAATGCGTGCTTTGTCAGATTCTCCCAAGAATGCTGTCATTTACAGAATCAAGGTAGCTAGGCATAAATGCTCAAGAGAAGAAATTTGCATTGAAAAATAAATTAAGCAAGATTAATGCTGCAAAAATACCTGTCCAGGTTGCATGCTGCTCCATTTTGTGTACAGAGCATTTGAAAGGTTTTTCAGGCTGGTGTATGGACAACTGAAGTGCTAATTGCCGTGCTTAAACCAGAAACAAGAATTAATCTTGACAGGCAGTTACCGTAAGTATGGTGAACTCTAGTGGAGATCACCTCAAATCATTTCGTATTAATTGTACCTCTGAGAGAAGCACTGCAGCATGCTGTAAGCAAAGCAGTAATGTAGGCCCTAGAGAGAAGTACTCAAGTGGCTGACAAATGCTGTCACTGGGTGCTGTTATCACATTATTACAATTCAACAACACCTGTGACAGTGACATTTATCATAAAGGTGATCATCAAATGGCAAAAGGGAGCATAACTGCAGCTGACATATTGGGCACAGCTATTTTCTAGGTCTTGTTGCAACAAAAAGCAGCTCTTGAAGTGGGGAGGGGGAATCAGGTCGATAAACACAGTAGGGTTGTCTTCTTAGTAAACATATGGCAGAGAAACAGAGGAAAAAAGCCATTAAGAAGACAAAAGGTTCATGTCATCTGCATGGGCAAAAAAATAACAATGTACCTTGGCTACCACAAAAGAGCCAGTGCAACATGTACAAAGCAGATGTAAGGTCTTTCCAGTACCTGGGGAACAGCACACAGGTGCACAACAGCTGCAGAAAAAAGGCAAGTTGTTAAAGAGCAGACAGCTCTCAGTGCTTTATCTTTTTAAACTAAATAAATTCCACAATGGGAACTACCATATAATACTGCAGCCAAAGAATCTCTCAATGTCAGCCAAAGGTTCTGCAGTGGATTGATGGCAATCTGTCTGTCCCTGAAATAAGCCCAACTCAGAACAGATAGTTTGAAAAGGAGAGCAACAAATAGTCTAGCTATTTTTGTAGCAGGAAGAAAGAGTGACACCAAAACTGGGCATGGGAAAATCCAAACATATTTACTGGCATTTACCTATCCGGCCTCTAGTGAAACCCAAACTAAAACTAGACAAGCAGTCAAAAGTCAGATTTTCATTCACCAGTAAACATTTAGACAAGACAAATAATTTAAGAGGAAATTATCACTACCTGTACCATTAAACACAGCCAGAAAAGTTTACTTTTCTAATCGTCTCACAAAACCCAAATCAAATTGGTGGTAGGGAGGATGTCGTTGTTTAAAAAGTATTTGCAAATATGACCTTCTGTTGTATAAACAGGAGACTGGTAATTTTCCAGTATTCCAAAAACCTGTAAAGTTTTGGAAAAGTATTTCAAAACCTAGGCATTTTGATGACATGATTATGTCATTTGCCTTGCCTTATCTTTGCAATTGGACAGGGTGCTAGATAATCTCATCTAGGCTCCCTTTCCCATGGAAGGCTGGACCAGGTGATCTTCTGAGGTCCCTTCTAACATGGGCAATTCTGTGATTCTATAATTCTATAGAATTCTCTTTTTCTCCTTGCACACATGACAAAAAGTGTCTCTACCTGTTATAGAGAAGAATATCTGGCTTCCAAATCAGTCCATCAGGAAAACGGACATTCTTCACTCCTGGGTATTCAGACACATTCCACTGTAGATAATGATCTGTCCAGTACTAAGACATACACACAAAAAGTAAGTTAGGTCATCTCATCCACTGGTTTACTGTAGTTCTCTAGGGACTGGCTAGCCTGAAACAATAGGTGTTCTCTTGTTAAAGAGCTACTATCTAGCTTCAGGCAGTGAACTATTTGGAAAGGGTGAATTAGGCCACCTAGAGCTCAGTGGAAGGCATAAAAATCTCATTTTTCAATTCACACTGCAGTGCACTTAACAGCCTATAAAGGAAGATTTGGGGTGCTTGTGTTTTATTGTTCATGCTGTCTCAGGTGCCAATTTGGGATAGAACAGATCTTCTTTTACAATTCATACATTAACTTCAATTATGTTTATCTTCACAGACAACTTTTTTTTCTGTTGTTGGAAATTCTCAGGTTGCAATAACTTGATTATAGACAGAGCAGCCAACAGTCAGTGCTGACAGGGAGAACAACTGAAATGGCAGAATGGTTAGTACTAGCATAGGAGATTTTAGGCCTGAAGTTAGACAACCTCTGAGGCAGATGCTCAGCAGCACTGCACTGTCCCACAAGCTTCCTTCCTGGCTGGCACTTGCTGCACTGGAGGCATCTGTCCTGGGGACTATCCGTGCTCCTTTCAACCCATCCTTGACTGCCAGTATAGGCAGGGAGTCTGTAGCAGTCAAACCAACAGGGGTTTGATCTGTGTTTAGTGTTGCTAAATCCCAGATACTGTCATTGAAGCATATGATCGTGCACAGTCACAAAGAAAAGCACTGCCCCAAACTGCAGGCAGTTGAGTACCACGGCAGCTCTAGCAAACTGGTTACCTCCTGGTCTCCTGAGAAGCACTAGCATGAGCTACTGTATTTTCCTGAAACTGAGGCTGCGCTTCACCCCTTACTAAGCAGATGACTTGTCAGGATACAAGGGTGGTTCCTGTTGTGCGCAAAAGGCATAAGTAAGAAGTAAAGTTCATTTTGTTTCACAAAATGTATTTATTCTTATAATTTCTATGCTTCATTATACTGTGCCTCTCTCTATCTCCATATTATGTTATTTACATCAACTTCACATAGCTGTAGGCATCACATAACCTACAGTGAAAACTTCACCAGATTTACAGTGCTTTTGCAATGCCAAAAGTTAGTCTTTTAAATGTAAACTTTGAAACGGTTGGGTAAACATACAATACTTCGCCCTTCAACAGTCTTGAGGCTGTTGTCAAAATCTTTGACAGACATTAAGGTCAGAAAAAATTTCCAATGGGTATTGTGGAGGTAATGTTATTGATCACTCTCATGGGGTATTCACATCAAATTGTTCTATGTAATTCCTTGCATTACTGTCACAGGCGAGTTTCAGTTTGATACACAAAACAAGTCCCCAGTTAGCCTCATGCTGCAGGTGTTCAAATTCATTCTTGTGCCTCTCAAACAGTGTTTGTAAATGACGGTTTTGATGCATGCAACACATCTAATAGCACTTATTACACATCTTTTGTAAAGCTTTTACTATACAATTTCTTGGCCTATGCTTCCATACTTACTCATTTTTTACTGTGAATTTGTAGCACCTTGTCACCTGGACAAATGATCGGAGTTGTGCATTGCTTTTTCCTTTTGCTTTGCAGATAACAGTTTTTTACAGAAATCTTAAATCAGAATATCTGATTGGCTCTGTTCATAGTTTTTTCTTTTCACTGCCTGCTCCATTCACAGTTCTCTAATTAAACTATGTGTATTGCTCACACTTATCAATACACAGCTTCTATAAGCTGATCAACTGCTCATCTTTTTCTTTTGGAAATTTTAGATCCATTTTTACAGTAAATTTTTTTACATGAACTTCCCAATAGACAAATGTCACTGTACTTTTTACCACTTCATCTTTCGTGGAGTGTAGAAATACTGAGATCCTCATGATACCTCTATTTTTTAGGAAGTCCAGCAATGTAAACAAATACAATGTGTGGTTTTGAGGCATTCAAACCTGTGGGCTCTTGTTGGCTTTAGGCGACTCATTTTCAGTAGCTGACAGAACAGGTCACTTTCTGAGTAGTGCTTGTAGGGCTGGGGCTGGCAGGCTGCAGGCAGCTGCTGCAAAGCGTGCTGCCCATTGGCTTGGTTGCGTGCAGCAGGCTCTCCTGTTCATTTCTACCTGAACTGCATTACAATAATCTATATCAATATATCCAGTAACTTCTTATTCTAATTTCTTTTAGGAGTTATCATCATGGCCAATACGATGTAGCACAGGGTGACAGTGAATGATGTAAAGACAGTCCAAAGGGTGATAGAAAACTTAAAGTCTGTATTAGAGATAATGTTAGGCAGATTGTATGGTTGCTCTGTTCAGCCATGTGTACAAAGTGCTTGCCCATCCAGCTGGACACAAGCCACCTCATTTTGTTTTAACTTTAGAGCTATAGTCTCCACTGTAGCTGAAGTACATTTCATGCAGATTAAAATGGGAAACAGCGCAGGGTACTTGGGTTAGTATTAATCTGTGTGACTAGGCAAGGCTCCTGCTGTAACTTAGATCAAGTTTGAGATTTTGATACTGAACAGTATTTCCATGGAGATAGTGGTCAGGATCAAAGAGTCTGCATGTATAAATACTAGATTTATATTCCTCTTTCTCCCAGGTTAGTTTTTGTATTTAAGTATTTCAGTGACGATTACATAAAATATATTTAAGATACATCGCTGATTATACACACATACATATCAAGAAAGGGGGTGGAGAGGGAGCTTCAGGGAAAACCTTATTTCAGACCATTTAGCATAATAAAATTACATGTTTGCCTTAAGCATGCTTTGAATCTGTCTAGTATACCATTAATAGACAGTTAATACACAAACACTTTTTTTTTCTTTTTTTTTTTTAATGTGTACACAGGCCATGAAGAGTGGCTACATTTTTGTAGTAAACAAATGATCTGCTCGTTGAAGTCTTAACATGCTCCACACACAGTGTATGCTAAGGTGGATAAATCAAAAGAACTACAGAATATAAAAAAGAATCAGGAATTTCCTTAGGGGGGAAAAAAACCCAATCTCAAAAAGGGTAAGGATGCTGTGGGATAAAAGAGGAGGAAAATAAGTGATAGCTTCTTGAGTATGAATTGTAACCTGTTTTGCTGGTAAGAAATCATAGCAACTGTTGTCATTGTAGCTTAAAGCCAAAAACATACTATATTTGACAGTTTTAATCTTCCTGTACAACAAGCCTGTAAAATAACATGAGCTGAATGCTTCTTCCATGTCAACTTTTCTTTGTAAATAAATCGAATAGCCATGCTATCCTTTGTAGGTCATCAAAATAGTCTTTCCTTTGTTTCCCAAGGCCTACCACAGTGCAAGAGAAATGCTCTTTACAAAATGTTAACAATAGAAGAAAAATGAACACCTTTAAACTGAATGAGCTGGTTAAAGAAACTGAAAGGTGTAGCATGATTATCTTGAATAATAAAACTCTTCTGTAAACCTCTACTTAACCCAAACAGTTCAGTTTCTGTAACACAGATGGGAATTCAACTAATGGCAAATTCTCATCCTAGCTGCTATAGTATGGATAAAGCTCCCCATATCACCCTGTCTCTGTAAAGCACAAACTTATGGTAGAAATGTTTTGTGGAAGCGTTAGGAGCTCCCCAGTGGTTAGCATGGTAAGAAGCATCTTCTTAATTCTAAGTCTTAATTAAAACTAATGCAAAAAAATAACCACTCAAGTCAGAATAAATCTGTGTAGGCTCCTTTGTGTAGGAGCAGCTCTCTCATTAGTTAACCTTTCAGAGAAAAGAAACTCAAAATACTCTCACAAAGTTCTTGAATATTCTATTATCTGTTCCATTTATTAAAAAGTGAGTGAAACTTACTCCTGCCCAGCAATGCCAGCCACGAATTAATGGGGGCAAAGTTCCCTGCTGTGTTATCTAGTGGTGGCAATAGTTAATTAATAAGACAGGATGTGAAGTTCTGTGACAACTATAACAACTAAACATTGCAACAAAAGGTAAAATAAAGCTACTGTTTGAAAAATGAACACCCTATGTGGGCAAAATAAACTGGGAAACCAGGAAAAAGTATACTGTTCCCAGCTGAACATTAGGAAACTGAACTGGTGTTCCAATACCCATTTTAGTCATGTAACTGAGATACAGAATTTAGAGAAGTAGCATAAAAAACCTCTCATGTTCACAGTTAACTTCTGATGATGACCTATGTGTAAACAACAACATTTTAAACAACATGGAAACAGCACGGCCATTTTAATTAAAATCCTCCTGCAGTTTCTTAAGGAGATAGACAGCAAAGCAAGGTGGATGGCAAAGATATTCAGTTAGGCTGAAGCTCTCAGGAGATAATGAGCCTCTTTGGCACAATTTTTCCCCTGTATCTGAACAACCATCTGGCAATTTTCAGTGTGCTGATCAGAACAGCTATTACAGATGAAATGCATTTCTTGCATGTGTAGTTATCTTTCACAATCAAATTATTTTCTGCAACGTAATGGATTTGTTGAAATGAGTGATAAGGCACTTGCACCTACAGTTACTCTACCTGGGACTCTTAGGACACCATTATCTTACAATGATCAAGAGTTTAGCATGACTAAATCAACTACAATGAGTTAGTAACTTACTTAGATGTAGTGACTTAAATTCTTAAAAGTTTCCAGAAATATCTGAAACATCAAGACCTAAATCTCAGCCTTACAGTTTTCCATTCACCTTAGCTTTGTCCACTATGTAGCAAGACACAGAACAAAAGCTTGAAAGTTTCCTAAAGTTCAAACCCCTCACCTGATTAAACTCAAACACCAAAGGGGGAAAAAAACCATACTTTGTTTCAAAACTTACCATTTGTAGCCAGATGTTTGTTGTTAATACTTGATTCTTTTCATCCTGGGAGGAAGGAGAAGGAGAGGAAGAAGACAAAACCAAACCACAACTTAGCACCATACAGATAAAACAGCACTGATAAATATATTTGACTATTATGAAATAGCCAGCTGTGCTAAGATACCTTTCAAAGCAAAGAGAATCACTGCCTCTAACTTACTGCAACAGATATTTTCACAGGTACTTTTTAATGTATTTCTTATTACCACAGTCAATCAAACTGTTTCCTGAGGGTATCCTGAGTCTGCCAGACTCTTCCCTAGGGCTTCTTCTTTAAAAAAGAATCTCAAAAGGCAAAGCAGATTACAGTAGGGGTTGCCTGTTTCACCTTTGTTAGGAGCAGCCCTCTCACTAATTAACCTTACACACCAGACATATGCAGGTAGTAGAAAAAATATTGAACAAAGAAAGTGTGACTAAGCTCAGATGATGTGTGTTGAGGCCATATTGAGTAGCTTCTTATCAGGCAAGCGGCACCACTGATACCAGTGGAACTATACAAAAAGTGTTGTATCAGCTTTACCAGAAAACGGTTGTCAGGGCAGAACATAATTATTCTTCCTGGAACAGTTCCAATTTGAAGGCCTTCCCCCTTGCCTCCTGTGACTATCTGATGTAAGCTTAGGTGACACAATAGGCATCTTAATGCTGCACTTAGTTAAAGAGTTTAATTCTTCACTTCTCAGACACAGGAAAATGTTGGTGACCTTATTTCTGTGGAGGTACTGTATCAGTATCCACCTGGGTTGTGTGAAGCTAATGGAATATACGATATATACTGTCAGTATTACACATTCTCCAAACTGAACACACAATCTCTGTCCCAACACCAGTCAAAGCTTCATTTACAGTCTAAGGAAGTGTCACAGCAAGTTTCAGTCACCTGTACAGCAGCAACTATCAGAGTTGCTCATAAGTCTAGACCTCTGAACTTAAATCTGTCACTCCTGAACTTAAATGTTGTTCCTAAATGCCCAAAAATGGCCAAAAAAAAAGGTTTAATCACATTTCATACAAAAAAAAAACCACAAAGCCCCCACAGCTTTCTTTTTTTGATGATACTCATTACTAAAGGTCAATACTCTTTACTCTTTTGCTGTTGTTTGGTGGACTTCTAACTGAACAAAATTCCTGAGAGACCTTTAATTGAAGCCATTTTAGAGCAGCACAATAGTAAAAAGTTACACAGCACATAAAATCAAATCAGTGCAAGGGACAGTGGCATTTTTAAAGCAAATGAAGCTTATTGAGGAGCAGCATCAGTAAATGTATGCCAGTGTTATGAGGTCATGTATAGTCACAACTAGATGTACAACATACAGACAAATAAAAAGGTTGTAGGTAAAGATCAGTATTGTGCATTAATAAAGTCTGCCCTCAAATGCACACTCCTACCTTCCTTTAAAATGAAAAGTAAAATAAAAAAATAGAAGGAAGCACAGACCACAGCTAGTGATTCAGCACCCTTCCTCTCTATTTTCTGCTTCATCACCTCCATGAACCTTACTTTTTCAAAAGTATCTCAAGTGGACAATTCATTTAAATGGCATCCTGGGGAAACAGGTCTCTTTAACCCCTTGGTTTCAGGAATACATTATTAAGCTGTATTGAATTAGCATGCTGAAGGCATTGCTGAAGATGTCAACCAGACAAAGTAGTAATTAATTTGCAATAGTAGCTGTTACTCTGTAGCCATACAAACATTAATTTGGTGCCTCTCTCAACAGCCTGCTTATAGTGTTAGAATACAACAGAACTAGTTTGCATGGGACCTTTAACTCATGAATGAAGAAACAACCCTTAAGAGATCATTCATATCACTATAAACTAAAGTCTATATACAAGTGTTGCAAATTAAGGACATGTAAAACCTCTATATGTTTCCATTCGTCATAGCCATCTTTAGGTCAGATGTAAATACCACTAACGATAACTTATCATTAAAAGCTCAATAGCATTTTCTCAAAGCTCTGTGTGCTGTCCCAGATGAACACGACAAATTCCTATAATGGAATGTCCCATCTATTGCACTGGAGCAAAGTCAAGAGCACCACTGCTGTGTGGTTTCTCTGCAGGGCAGACAGTAATTGTGTTGCTTTGCACAGGCGTAACTGGCTACTCAGAAGTGCAGAGCAATTCAGAATCCATTATGTTGTGGGAAGCTTGTTTCAGGACTATTAGCTGAATGGCATGTACTCCTGCTTGGTTAAATTCTGAGTTAAACTCACATTTTATTCCCAGTGTGATCTCTTTCTACACATGAATGGCCCCAGCCTTAGATTAGTGATGTTTCAAAAATTCCCTTTTCAGTAGCAGGAAAAGATTGTACCAAAGCTGGAGTTCTGCTGATGCTTAAGCTAATGATATGGCACGGGGATTTATTTTGAAGCCCTGATCCCACAGCATAGTCAGATGAACTATTTTAGGAGTACCAGAAAGGAGCTCTACTGTCAAGCAGCACACATCACAGAACCAGGTTAGACAGCCATCACTGAGCAGTCAAACTAGCAGAGCTGAGGGGGACAGTAGACTTCTAATCCAGCTGTGCTGCTGGCAGAATGATTCAGCTGCCTGCCACTGCTAGGCAGCTGGGCACATGGCAGAGCCATCGCAGGTCTGCCTGCAGGAGACTCTGCAGATGTATTCTCAAAGCCAAGAGTTATTCTGAAGTGTGATCTTTCACTCAAACCTAGCTTAAAGAGGGTATCCTGAGAGTACTGACTCAAAAGTAACTTGTACCGTGAAGACAAGCCCTAAATGAAGATGGCCCATGCTGTTTTCCTAGTGTTTCTTTCTGTTATTTTAAGCATTTAGAGCCTGAAAGAGTGTATTTGAACAAAGTAACTCCCACTTAGACCACTATATTTAAGGTTCCATCAGTGTTTAAATCATAAATCCCATCATTGCTCCTCAGCTATAAAAACTTCGCTGCAGGCTGAGACTTATAGTGGTGGGTTTTTTTATAGTGTTTGTTGGAGCAAATGGCTGCCAACATTTTAGTCTTTATTGGATTGACTCACCCATCACTAGAGGAAAGATTCTGATTTTAGAGGGTTTGTCCCTCTCTGTGGTCCCAAGTGAAGCTGGTGAAGGGTGAGGCAGGAGACATCCTGCAGGGTTTCTCCCAACCAGGAGAGTTTTTTGGACACTGTTCTAAAAGCTTTACAGCAAACTGCATTAACACTGTTTTTCATTAGAGATGTGCAGTACTTCCCCATAAAATGATGGGTGGGCTTGAAATGCTTCATAGAACTTCACCAGTTTTTGTCACTTTGCAGTACTTCGTAAACACTTACAGAAGAAGTGTTGAACACAAAAGCAAGGCAGCTCCTATTACAAACCCCTTCTACTATAAAGGAGCAAAGAAAAAGGACTTCACAATATATTCTGAGATGCTGGGAAAATTAGTCAGAGAATGAGACCAGAAACTGTATCATGTTGTTTGGATTTGTCTGTTTTTTTCCCGTACTAGCTACTTTAGGTTACTTGCTGTTCAGATAGTACTGGCCAAGTAGCACAGCTAATGGAAGAGTTCGGTTTCGTTCACACAGTGGGAAGTGGGTGGGAGGCTACTTCGGTCTACTTGATTCATAACTGTATCATGATCTGTGAGGGCAGGTAGCGAATTGCTACTGGACTGCTTGTCACATTATTTCATGGCAGTGTAGTTAATGAAGGAAAAGTAGCTGACATCAGGAAGACTTGAATGGTCCTTCGTTAATTTCTGAAGGTAGAAGTAACAACTTCTGGATGTTTTTTAAGGGAATTGCACTGTCTCCTTTCTTCCAATTCCGATCTCTAGTTTTGTCTATCTTTTCAATTTAAACAGTCTATCAGACTGATCACCTTTGGAAACACAGTATCAGATTCTCACATTATCTTTCCCTTACCCTGTGTTCAACAGAATATATAAAGAAGAGATAGAAATTTGACAATGCTTTGTGAAAGGCATTAGCCTGGACATGGCAAACTTTGTAAGGAATATTATCTGCTGACTTTCAAAAGGATGTCAGCATGTGTAGTACCCACGCTAGAAAAGTTATGCAGCAAAAAGCAAGAGGAAAAAGCAGTAAAATAAGCCTGCATGCCTATGAAGTGACATGCAGTCAGTGACATGCAGCACCTAGCAAGAAACACATACTTTCCAGAAGACTTGCATAAAGTGATGTCCTGACTAAAATCTATCAGCTGTAATTCTTGCACTTCAAATCCACATTCTTGATGTTTACATGGTTGAATCTCACCTAAATTACAGAAAAAGTAATGCCTCTTTGAACTGAGCTTCAGTTACTATGAACCTTAATGAAAGAGTTTGTAAAAACATTTTAAGGCATCCCTTGTTATAGCAATAATGCTAGGTTCCTGACTGGTACCTTGTAGCAAGACTGAAGTTAGTACTTGTAGTCTAAAGTTAAAAATGGCCTGGCAGCCAGTGAGAGACACATAAGGCACTCCCTATATAGATTTTCACTTTTGTTTGCCTGAATGTCATCGCACTGAAAGCAGCAGGTTAATCAGTTCATTAGCTCTTACCTTATTGTCTCAGCACTTGCTTATTAAACATTCTCAACATCTTCTGATCCACAATGTCAAATTACTAGCACCTAATGACATTTTTTTCCCACATCATTTAAAACCCTGTTAGGCTTAATTTTTGCTTAACACAGCTTGGGGTTTTCTTCCTCTTCCTTTTCAGGGTCATGCACTCAGCTCACTAAACTGTATAAAGGCTGAATTCTTATAGGATTAGTACTGAGAGAACAGGCTGGAGGGTGACTTAAGCACTCACAAAACGGCCAATTGACAAAAGATTGATGCTATGGCCATACTTTAGGCAGCCATAGTGACAAGATTAATCTGAGCTCCTCAAAATTTACGGAAAGTAGTGAAAGGGCTGGATTTCTTCATTCCTGCCCATCATGCTGGTGCACACCAGCACCCTGTGTGGCCAACCTCCAGGAGAGGCCAGAGTAGCATGTGGTCCAGCTTCACCCACCTGGAGC